ACTGGACTAAGTTACTGGAATTAAGACTTATTCTATGCATCTGCTCTCCCACAATATGGCGCTGGGAGAGAAGAAAACAGCTTCTACACAGCTGCCTCCAGTTCAGCCAATAAACTGTAGGACTTGCTCCTGATTGGAGGAGAGCAGCGTACTCGGCGTGTGGGCAGCCGAGTTGGGATTGGCAGAGGAGGACTATAAAGGAGGAGAGAGACGGCATGCACCAGGAACATCTAAGAGGAACATCTAAGGGGAATACCTGTGCAGCCCCCGAGAGAGCCGGCCGGCGGTGTGCTGCTCCCCTGCGGAAGTGGGGAATGTGGCAGGGGGAACCGCCCTTCCACGGAGGTGGAAGGGATAGTAGCCAACCCGGGGAGGGCCGAGCAGACGAAAGAACAGCGCAGGGTCCTGTGTCGTTCCTCCATGAAGAGGGGGAGCGACACATATTGTTGTGCTCGTAAGAAAAAAATTAAGATTGGGTTCCAAGCTAGAGTAGGGAGTGGCTGGGGGAGGGGTGCAGAGCCCTCTGTGACTGACAGGGGTTTCAGATTCCAAGACAGGTGTAAGGGGCTAGAGCTCAGCTTTAGATACTGGGCGAAGGCTCAGGGAAGAAACTCTGAGGACAGGGAGAAGCGGGCATGGGGCTGCATTCTAAGGGCTACCCTGTATGAGGGTGGGGGCTGCAAAACTGCCCGCCAGCCTAGGCATTGACAAGGAGCCCTGATAGTCCCCAGGGCCTCTGGGTAGGAAGAGAGACACATGGGAGGGAGGCTCCATCAGCCCAAGCCTGTCTCATGCAGGTGTGGCGTTTGGGTTTATAACATCCAGCTGGGATGGCAGGGGACCAAGTCCAAACCAGCAGCATCAACAGAGCCCTGGAAGAGGCTCGTGTGGCCCTGAAGAGGAGCCTGCAGGACGGTGTTACCAAGCAAAGCACCGGGAGGGAGAGTGCACAGAGAGAGGCAGGAGCAGGGATGGAACATTCTGGAAGAGATCAAAATACTTAAAACACTGAAGGAGGTAAAAGAAGTCAGGAATAAGATAGTAAGAAAAATATTGGGGCCGGTGCTGTGGCGTAGCAGGTAAAGCCACCACCTGCAGTGCCGGCATCCCATATGGGTGCTGGTTCGAGTCCCAGCTGCTCCACTCCGATCCAGCTCCCTACTGTGGCCTGGGAAAGCAGTAGAAGATGGCCCAAATGCTTGGACTCCTGCACCCACGTGGGAGACCCAGAAGAAGCTCCTGGCTCCTGGCTTTGGAATGGCACAACTCCAGCTGTTGAGGCCAATTGGGGAGTGAACCAGCAGATGGAAGATCTTTCTCTTTCTGCCTCTGTGTACCTCTGCCTTTCAAATAAATACATTAATTTAAAAAATAAATACACCTAAAATGCTGAGATTTTACAAAGTGAAAAACATAGTCATTGAAATGTAACAGATGAACTGGGTGATGGAAGAGTGACAAAGGAAAAGAGAATTAGTGACTCGAAATATGCATCTGAGCAAGGCTCCCACAATGAAGCAAATGAAAGAGAGGTTAGAAGACATGAAAGACAAAACGGCGAAGTCCAACATGTTTCTGATAGATGTTCTTACAGGAGCCTAGAGATGTATAAAAATGGTGACATCTGAAGAAATCTGGCTCCCGAAATCGAAAAAATATGTGAGTTCTCTGGTTATAGGAGTAGGGCATGGAACGCCCTCCTTATGATTAGCTACTTCGCCATAAATCTGCAGAGACAGACAGACAGGAACAGGCCTCACAGGAGCAGCCCCTCCTGGCCGTCTCTGACCAGAAGCTGCTCCGTCCACTCTAAAGCAATCAGGAGCAGGGGGCGTCCAGACGCTAAGCACAGAAGCCCCCCAAGCCGCTCCATTCGGGACCCTGCAGAACCAGCATCAGCACAGACATTGCCCTCGGGAGGCAGCAGTGAGCCACACGGTCGTTTTGAGCACATTGAGTGCAAAAGCAAGACCAGCAAGCTGGGTGCAGACCAAAGTGCACACACCGAGAGGGATAATCCAGAGACAGGGAGAGTGCAGCCACGCCTCGGCAGCCCCACCAAACCCCTCTCAGCTCCCGCAGCTGCAGGGGCAGTTGAGGGCCCCACTTCCCCACTCATATCCAAATATAAACCTCAGCAAACTCGCTGTGCCTTGAATGTTGGCTCTGGTCAACTTCTATTACAAATGAGTCAAGAACCTTGAGTATCCAAATAAGTGAAATAGAACAAAACAAAACAAAACGAGTTAAAAGCTGCCAGCGATAAACACATTCTGCACGGGAAAGTCTGTTAGTCTGAGCAGACCTCTGTCTAGCAGCCAAAATGGCCAGAATATGGTGGAAGTGACCTTGAAAGTGCAAGGGAAGAAGAACCAATGAAGCAGAAATGTATGGCCCGCTGAGGTGTTATCTGAGAGTGGAGGCAAAATGATGTTTTCAGGCAAGCATGGAGCTTATCTGTCACCAACCCTCAGTGAGAGGACCAGGACAGGATGCACTTCAAGGAGAAGGGACCTGGAGGTGGCCTTGTGGTGTGGCAGGTCACATTGCCACTTACTGTGCGCTGCCCGAGTCCTGGCTGCTCGGCTTCCCGTCCTGCTCCCTGTTAATGCATCTGGGAGAGCAGCGATGATGGCACAAGTGCTTGAGCCCCTGCCACCCGCGTGGGAGACTTGCATGGAGTTCCAGGCTCCTGGCCTTGACCTGGCCCAGCTCTGGCTGTTGCAGCCACTTGGGAAGTGAACCTGCTGATGGACACTCTGTCTCTTCCTCTCTTCTTCTCTCAGTCACTTTATCTTTTGAAGAAATAAGCAAATAAATCTTAAAAAAAAAAAAAGGAAGGGAATTGAGCCCAGAGAGGAGTGGTATTCCCAGAATATGAGTAAAACTAAAATACATGTGTAAACATAGTTATATCTACATAGTCACTAATTTTTTTAAAAAACAGTAATTTTGGTGAGCTTAAAAATATTATGAAATTAAAGTACAAGGATGAGGCCAGTGCTGTGGTGTAATGGGTAAGGCCACTGCCTGTGGTGCCAGCATGCCTTATGGGTGCCAGTTCAAGTCCCAGCTGTTCCACTTCTGATCCAGCTCTCTGCTGTGGCCTGGGAAAGCAGCAGAAGATGGCCGAAGCCCTTGGGCCCCTGCACCCACGTAGGAGACCCGGAAGAAACTCCTAGCTCCTGGCTTCAGATTGGCCAGCTCTGGTCATTGCAGCCAATTGGGGAGTGAACCAGCAGATGGAAACCTCTCCCTCCCTCCCTCTCTCCCCCTCTCTCTCTGCCTCTCCTTCTCTGTGTAACTCTTTCAAATAAATAAATAAATCTTTTTAAAAAATAAAGTACAAGGATACAAAGAGGTGTGAAAAGGACAAGTTCAAGTGTCTCCTAAAGTTTCTGTGCTTTTGGGGGAAGAGGTGGGAGATACTAATGGTTTGTTAATGCAAGTATTTAATCTTTAAGTACTAAAAGGAAATTGAGTGTAAAGCTTCCACTCTTAAAGGAAATTTGTGAGAATTCCAAACAACAGAACTGCAAAATAAAAGTAGAAACAAGTTCACAAATGTCGCCCATGGTTTTGATCGGATGAAGCTTAAATCCTCAGCACACAGTTGACAGCAGGCACTGTGCTCTGCACGGGAGACACAAAAGCAGATAGAGACAACTTCTGCCTTCCAGAAGCTCAGTCTTGCAGGGGTCGGGATGGTGCGGGGATCAGGACAAGGTGGCAATGACATCACGGTCAGCTACCGACCCAGGACAGCGGCGTTGTGTGGCTAAGAGGAGGGGGAGAGGGTTGGGGTTGGTGCCCCCTCGGCTGTACCTTGAAGGCTAAGAAAGAAGATGCAAGAAATAGGGAGGGTGCAAAGGCATGGAACACGGCACGTTCCCGCCTCACCTGCTTGGTTACAGCGAAGAACCGGAGTCCGAGAAAAGGTTAGGAGACTGCCCCAAGGTCACTCAGCCAACTAGTGGCAGACCTAGGATCTGTCCCCAGCACCCCACTGCCTGTCCCATCCCCCGTTCTGTACCACACTGCCCAGCATGGCAGCAGGAGGCTCAGGGCATGCAGGTTGTTGAGACAGCAGCCGACACTGGAAACGAGCTGCCCCTGGGTGTGGGGGCTGGATCTGCCTCCGGCCTACCCCAGGCTGGAGCTGAGCCAGGAGCCTGGCAGTTTCCAGGGCCAAGCTGCCCAGCTCACCCCAAGGAAGCCTCAGCCTCCAGCCACGGCCCGACGCTTGGCTTAATCATTAACTTCAAGTTCACAGGGCTGGAGCTGGAATGCGCAGGACCAGGGGAGCAAGCTGGGTCTCCAGGGAGCCGAGAGAGACGGCCCTTGATGTGGGGAGGGTCCCAAGTGCACACTGGGGTTTTTCATTCCTGAAGGGGTCTACATGGGCTCAAGGACCAGGGCTCTCGCCTGACACTCTCAACTTCGCCAAGTTTATACCAGCTTGCTAGCTGGAGTCCAGGATTCCCTGTCAGGGTTCACAGCAGAGCACACGTCCTCTGGCTCAGCCCTCGCCTGTCTGCTTCACTCAACTGTGATCCCGCAGTGGGCAGGACTTGGTCTTTACCTCTGCACCCTCAGGGCCTGGCACAGCCTGTGTTCCCTCTCTTTGATTGGCTGAGTGAAGGAGACCCTAAATCTGCCAGAGCACACACCTTTATTTTTTAAATTTTTTTTTTTGACAGGCAGAGTAGACAGTGAGAGAGAGAGACAGAGAAAGGTCTTCCTTTTCCTGTTGGTTCACCCTCCAATGGCCACTGCGGCCGGCGCACCGCGCTGATCCGAAGCCAGGAGCCAGGTACTTATCCTGTTCTCCACGTGGGTGCAGGGCCCAAGCACTTTGGCCATCCTCCACTGCACTCCCTGGCCACAGCAGAGAGCTGGACTGGAAGAGGGGCAACCGGGACAGAATCCAGCACCCCGACCCGGACTAGAACGCTCTGTGCCGGCGCCGCAGGTGGAGGATTAGCCTATTGAGCCACAGCGCCAGCCAGACACACCTTTATTTCTAAAAAAGATTTGTTTCTTTGGAAGGTAGAGTCACACATACACAGACACAGAGACAATCTTCCATCCACTGGATCACAGCCCAAATGGCTACAACAGCTGGGGCTAGGCCAGGCAGAAGCCAGGACCCCAGGACCCCAGAACTCCATCTGGGTCTCCCACACAGGTGGCAAGGGACCTGCGTACTTGGGCCATCATCCACTAACTTAGCAGGTGCTTTAGCTGGAAGGTGGATCGGAAGTGGAGCAGCCAGGACTCAAACCAGCACTCCTATACAGGATGCTGGCATTGCAAGCAGTGGCTTAGCCTGCTGCACCACAAGGTGGGCCTGGCCTCGTGTTTTTCCATTAAAAGAAATGGAAGTGGATTTTGCTTAAAAAGTTCAACAGAGGGCCGCAAGCACCTGTGCAGACACCCGCAGTGTCAGACAACATCACAGAGCTTCGACAAGGCCCCCGGTCTGAGGAGATGGGAAGTTCTTGGGGGAGCCTCGCCTTCCCCCTCCTCCCTCAGTGTTCAGGTGACTGCAGGTGGCCTTCCCAGCAGAGGGGTGCCTGGGGTGACAGCGAATTGAGGCAACAGAAGCCCCATGGTGGGCAAAGACCACCAGCATGGTACGGGGAGAGCTGCAGCCTGCTGGGAGGACCATGCCAGCGGTCCTTATAGCCAGTCTGGCTTCCCCGACTGAAACCTTGCCCGGCCAGGCAGGGTGGGAGTGGGAGCAAGGTTTCTTCTTTCTGGTGAACCCGAGCTTCCCGATCTGCAGCACAGTCATCCCTTCACCAGGTGCTCGTCAGGACTAAACCTAACGATGCTACATAAAGCCTCTGGTACCCAGGGGGTGCTTGTGCACAGTGCAAACATCTTTTTCTTGCAAGTGGGAACCCCAAACCTACCAAGAGCCAGGGACGTGGACCTCAATTCTGGTCTCTGAAGCCACATGGCCAGTGCCCAACAATTCTGAGCTCAGTCTGCAGGAGAAAGGGTCCCTGTGCTGAGTCCCGTCTGAAGGCAGGAACATGCGCTCACGGGGACACTCGTGCTAGTGCTGGGAGAAGGAGCTCCTCTTGCAGCCACAGTTGTTCTCACAAGGCCAGCTTGTGTGCTTGGAGCTGGACTCAAGGGTTGCCTCTCCCCCTGGCAAATTCTGTCTGGCCCCAAGGTCCCAGATCCAGGGGAAGCTGAGTGCACCCTTTGCTAGTGACCTCGGGCTCCTTTCTCACTGCAGGCCGGTGGCAGTGAATGCAGGTGGCATTCTCATTCTATCACCTGTAGTTTTCAGATCTGGTCAGTGCTTGGAAGTTTTGGCACCCCGCGATTGTTACAGCAGGAGTTAAAGAATCCAAGGAGGACCCCAATCTTAGGTTCCTCCAGCTTCCTGCATGGCTGAGCAAACTGCCTTTGCAAGGAACCGGGGCTCTAAGCTGCTCGGGCCGCCCCGTTTCTTTCCACTCTGCCTTCTCATTTCTCTCCCCTGTCCTAAAAGCTGAGATGAAATGGGAAGTCAATTGCCAAAGGAGATCCTCTCCTGAGGCAAATTTCCTGTCTTGCTTATGGGCACGGAGACCCTGGGAGGGGAGGGCAGGGCAGGGCACTCTCCCAGAACCAGCCCCGGGGTGACAGGTGCAGCAGGATCCACTTGCTCCCGGCGAGGGGGATGGGAAAGGCGAGGGAAAAAAAAAAAAAAAAGGAAGACAGACTGTGTAGGAGACCCCAAGGGCTGCCCCCTTCCTCCACTCCGCCCCAACCCGAAACTGTCAGTCCCCACCAAGCCAGAGAGAGAGAGAGAGAGAGGAGAGAGAGAGAGAGAGAGAGAGAGAAAGTGGGAGTGGGGAGAAAGAGCAGAAGAGGGGGAAATCAAAGAAAATTGCAAAAGTCAATGGGCTGGAACTGGAGGCGGCCTCAGCAACAGCAGTGTGACTTTCATTCCCCTATCATAACCCTGAATTAAAAATTCAGGCAATTATCTGCATGGCTTCCTTCTGATTAGAACGAGCCGGAGCCTCATTAATGCACCGGCACAGAGGAAAGCCATTAGGGTCTGTGAAATGGAATGTTTCTCTGAGAACAGGTTCCGCTTGATGTAGAATACCCAGCAAAAAGAAATTTCACACATTTTTGAGCTCCGAGTCACAGGACGGCAGCCTGCTCCGGGCTCGGGGCCGCGCCGCACGGTCCAATCTTCGCCGGTCCCAGGTGAAAGCCGCCTTTGTTTCCCAGCCCTTCTCTGGCACCTCTACCCACGGCTGCTGCATGCAGCGAGTGGAAGGGAGTCGTGGGATGCTCCCCCCTGCTTGGTTTTGAGGCACCAAGACAGCCTGGATCCCCAGCCTTGCCAGTGCCCAAGCCGTGAGGAGCAGCCGGAATCTCTTGGGAATTCGCTGATCCGCCTCGAGAAGAAGGAGTGAACTGGCTGAGGACAGTGAAGGTTCTAGAAGCCAAAAAAGGTCCAAGTGTCTGCACATCCCCAGTCATCTCGGTGTTTCCTTGACCGCGTGCCCTTGAGCTTCCCAAGGTGGTCCAAGCAGAATCTGGCGAGCCTGAGCCTGTTCTGGGGGCCGGTTGGTTGCCTGGTGGAGGAGGAAGGGCCAGGAGTAAGGAAGGCACCCTTTACTCATTCCTTATTTTGGACGCTCAGACCTTCCAGAAAGGCAAATTTGCTGCCCAGTGCCCGTGCACCAGCTGGCACTCAGTAACTCTCACGCCTCCCGCAATGCCTAGTGGCAACTTTCCCCCTAAATGACTGATACCTGGGGAACCCAAGAGCAGCTTCCCAAACAACTCCCTCTGCAGCCTCAGAAGTTCCTCTCTTGGGAGACCTGGGCTCCACCCAATTTGTTTAGGTTTGCTTTAAGCCACTGGGTGGGACTGTAGCTTCCCTGGCTTCAGACAGCTCAACCTTCCCCTAATGTAGGGATTCTGAGGACATCCAACAGGAATCCTTGGACTACCTCACATATATAACCTTGAGAGGAAGGTGAGAATTGAAAAAAGTGGAAACATTTTTACAGGAAAATCGCTGGTTACAGTCAATAGGATTTTTATAGGAAAAGGACCAGTTACACTCAATTGAATGCAACCAGGAAAACCATTGTCCTTCAAACGGAGTAAAGTCACTTTCTGCTCTGCACACTTGTAAACTAAGTGTGCAAGACTGTAGACACAGCCAAACTGTAGATAGTATAATGGCATCATTGCACAGATATAGTTTGTATCAACAGCGCCCCCTACTGCACACAAGCAAAACTGGGCAACCAGTGGTCATGGTTTTCCAAAGTGTTTTCCACCATATGCCACCCGAGGTCACTGGGGTGACTGGTCACTAAGGAGTTTTTATGAAGCATGTTTTCGACACCACAGTTTTATGGGTAGAGGCTTTTAGAGTTTCCCTCGCTCTCCGATACAAACAAGATGTGTGGTGATCCACGCACAGTGCAGAGTGTCCTGTCTCTAACACGTGGCTGGACCAGCACGTGACCAAGTCAGAGGCACTCAAGATTCACTTGTGACTTCGGATGATCCCACGTGAAGGCGGGCTGACCTCGAGGCACCCGGAGCCTCGCATGGGCGGGGTTAGCCCAGGCTCGTGGGCAGGCAGGAGAGTGAAGGAGCAGGCCAAAGGTCGGGGACGCCTTTGGCAGCTTCGGCACGCTCCGCAGTGAGCCCTGCTTTTTGCCTTTGGGAAATGGTCAAATCCCAGCTCATAGCGCCTCGTGCCTCTCACTTTATGTCTCAGTATTTCCAGTACAAGGGGTGGCATCAGGCCCAGCAGTGAAGGTGCCGTTTGGGGCTCTCACATTCCGTAACAGAGTATGTGGGTTCAAGTCCAGCTTCCTCCTCATGTTTGCCCTAGGAGGCAGCAGGTGATGCTCAAGTACTTGGGTCCCTGCCACCCACGTGGGAGACCTGGGTTGAGTTCCTGACTCCTGGCTTCAGCACGGCCCAGCCCTGGACTAGCGAGTGAACCAGTGGGTGGGGGATCTCTCTCTGCCTTTCAAATAAATAAAAATAAGTGTATCAAATGTAAGACACTCTTCCTAGTCCAGGTCACGCCTTTCTTCCCCCAAAGAACTCAATACCAAGCTTTGTAGTGTGGCACTCCTTAGCCACCAAATATTTTTGCAGTTACTATTATGCGCGAGACATTGCTGTAGGGACAGGAGTCGTAGCACTAGGCAGAAGGCAGATGAGGCCCTGCTCTCACGGGGTGTACGGCCGGCTGGGAATACGGAGAAGACAGCAAGACAGAGGGACATGTGGTGGGGAGCTGTGAGTGGAGGAGGCTGGGGAAGGGGGGCAGGGACTACTCGGAGCAGGTGGTCAGGAAGGCCACTCTGACAAGCACTTTGGCCACATTTCTCACCTGCTCTGGCAAGCCTGCCCACCTGCCCTCACCACGGGACTGCCTCTCTAAGCAAGCAACCCCAGTCACCGCTCCCCTTCCCCTGAGCCCCCCTTCCACTCATCTCTGCTCAAGCCTCCTCTGCTGGCAGAGATGGATGGTGCTGCGTTCAGTTCTCTTGGCGGACAAGGGCCCTGTCTCCTGCTTCTCTGGCTTGTGCCCAGAGTGGAGGGGAAGGGACCAGAAACATGAACGCACTGGCGTGGGTTTAGTGCCCGTGAAGCTCCTGCCGACTCTTTTTTTTGGTCCCATTTTGTAAACGAGGTAAACAAGGGTCAGTTCACCCAAGGGTGCACAACCGCCGAGTGCTGGGGTTCAACCCCTGATCTAGCACCGTAGCCTGTGGTCTCCCCCCAAAGCACAACACAGAGCATGTCCGTTCAGTGTCGTCAGTGAAATGGGTGCGAGGGAGGGGGCTCCGTCTCTGAGAGCTGCCGGGCTGCCCAAGTCCCTGCATCACAGATCCTTCCTCGGCTACCAAGCAGGTGCCCTTGGGCACTGCACTCCCTCCTCCCAGAGACCAAAGACCCTCTGTGGATGCCAGTCAGACCAGGGATCTCCCAGCTCCTTCCAGGTCTGACATTATTTATGTATTTTATATATAAAATATATATTAAGATTAATTAATTTGAAAGGCAGAGTTACAAAAAGATAGAGATCGATCTTCCACCCACTGGTTCACTCCCCAAATGGCTGCAATGGCCAAGGCTGGGTCAGGTTGAAGCCAGGAGATTGGAACTCCATCTGGGTCTCCCACGTGGGTGCAGGGGCCCAAATACTTAGGTCATCTTCTGCTGCTTTCCTAGGTGTATTAGCGGGGAGTTGGATCAGAAGTGGAGCAGCCAGGACTTGAACTGGTGCCTATATGGGATGCCAGTGTCGCTGGTGGTGACTTTACCTCTATACCACAACGCGGGCCCCAGATCTGACATCCTGAGAAAGGGGTCAGGGTGGGTGGCTGATGGGAGCAGTCAGTGGACTTCATCGAATCAAGGTCTGAATTCAGTTTTCAAATTGCCAGAGGACAACACACAACAGTTTGTTCATTCAATTAAGATTCAACATATACTGAACACTGATACATGTTGGACTCTGGTATATGCTGAAGACACAGAAATGAACCTTGAAACATTGTCCTTGGCCAGCGCCGCGGCTCACTAGGCTAATCCTCTGCCTGCGGCGCGGGCACAACCAGGTTCTAGTCCCAGTTGGGGCGCCGGATTCTGTCCCGGTTGCCCCTTTTCCAGGCCAGCTCTCTGCTGTGGCCCAGGAGTGCAGTGGAGGATGGCCCAGGTCCCTGGGCCCTGCACCCGCATGGGAGACCAGGAGAAGCACCTGGCTCCTGGCTTCGGATCAGCGCAGTGCTGGCCGTAGCAGCCATTGGAGGCTGAACCAACAGAAAAGGAAGACCTTTCTCTCTGTCTCTCTCTCTCACTGTCCACTCTGCCTATCAAAAACAAAACAAAACAAAAACAAACAAAAAACATTGTCCTCTCCCTCTAATAGGTATAAAAGGAAAGACAAACAGGATGACTAATAATAATCTTAATACCATGGCACTCACTCTTTGCTAGAAACTTCCGAGCACTTTGTACCACCATGTGACTCATTTGAATCTTCCCAGACATCCTATGAGGTGGGTAGCATTATTCTTCCCACTTTACAGGTCAGTAACCTGAGGCATAAAGAGGTGCTGCTGTGAAAGCGGCACCGTGGACATCAGTAGCGCATGGAGCTCTATTTCACAGGGCCTGGCCTGTGGGAATGCAAGTGAGGTCCCGGCGTGCAGTGGTTACAGCAGTTCTGCTCCCCTGGGATCTGCTTCTGTCCTTGCTCGTCCTCCTGACATTTAGGAGCAGCCACGCACATACTCCGTAGAGGGGAGAGGTTTGCTACAGGGGGCAGGGAAGGATTCAAGGTTTTGAAACTCAAAGCACACAGCTGTGGGCTAACTCAGGGTATAGAAGAATGTAGTGTGTTAGGGCCAGTGCTCCTGCCTCGGGAACGGGGGATCTGGGGGCCTGGGGAGGACACTCCATGTCTCATGAGTTTGGGCAGTCAGGTCCCTGAGTGGAAACGGCCGGTGTGTGTGTTCACCACGCCTGAGATGGCCTGCAGAGCTTGTTTCCTGGGCATGGATGCAACGTCGGAGTGGTGCTCTGGGTCTCAGCGCAGATGGAACTGAGTGGGGGGACAATCCACAGAGGGGCCCATGCTGTGGCGCAGCAGGTTAAGCTGCTGACCGAGACGCCGGCATCCTACATGGGCACCAGTTCACATCCCTGCTGCTCCACTTCTGATCCAGATCCCTGCCTATGTGCCTGGGAAAGCAGTGGAGGATGGCTGAGGTCCCTGGCCCCTGCACCCACCTGGGAGACCCAGAAGAAGCTTCTGGCTTTGGCCTGGTTCAGCCTTGGTCATTGCGGCCACTTGAGGAATGAACCAGTGGATGGAAGACCTCTCTCTGTCTCTTTTTCTCTCCCCTACCGCATCCCTCCATGACTCTGCCTTTCAAATAAATAAATAAATAAATCCTTTTTTAAAACAAAGTTCAAGGAGAGGTAAGAGTTTGGTTAAGATGCCCACATTCTTTATGGCAGTGGTTCAGTGCAAGTCCCAGCGCAGCTAATATACACCCTGGGCGAAGGCAGGCGATGGCTCAAGCGCCCGAGCCTCTGTCATCCACATGGGGAAACCTGGATTCAGTTCCTGGTTCCTGGCTGCAGCCTGGACCAGCCCTGGTTATTGCAGGCATTCTGGGGGTAAATCAGCAGGTAGAAGATCTCCAGCTCTCTGTCTCTTTGCCTTTCAAGTAACTAAAAATAAATTGGTTTTTAAATTCATGGGAGAGCAAGATGAAAAGAAAGGTTTATTTCAGTGCCCAATATTTTTGAAATCCATGCCCAGACTTTTTGGGCTACACATTTCCTGAACCTTGTGAGGAGCCCTAGTATGCACTGATGTTAAAACTCCTTGCACCAAAAATAAACTTACCTTTTCATTCCTTTTCTCCTTCGTGTGTGAAGCAGCCTCAGAGCAGCAGTCCCGGCAGCCGCTCCCCTCCATGGCACAGCGCAGATCACAGGAATCATAGGATGAGCACCCGTCTTTCTAGGAGCTGCCGGACCCCAGGCATCCCCTGGAATGGGAAAAGAAAAATAAAAAAACGTGGTCCAGGAGGAAATGAGGCCAGGGTGTCTCATGGCGGCTGCAAGATAGCAGGGGAGCCGAGGTCAGCAGGGAAGCTGGTGCAGGCTGGGTCCAGCCTGCTTTGCTCACTGCTCATGCTGTGGGCCATTGGCCAGTGCTCAGTAAATAAAGGAAATGAAGTGGCCTCAAGAATCAGGCCTTTGGTTCCAAACCTCAGTTCTACTCTGTCTTTTTCAGATTGATTTATTTATTTGAAAGGCAGAGAGTGACACAAGGGGGTGGGTGGTGGAGAGAATCGTCCTTCTGCAGGTTCACTCCCCTTGTGGTCACAGGAGCTGGAGCTGGACCAGGCCAGGAGCCAGGAGTTCCATCTAGGTCTCCCATGTGGGTGCAGGGTCCCGGGGACTTGGGCCATCCTCTACCAATTTCCTAGGCACATTAGCAGGGAGCTGGATCCGAAGCAGAGCAGCTGAGACTTAAACCAGCACTCTAACAGCGATTGCCCACATCACGGCTGGTGGCTTAACACCAGTCCCAGCTCTACTTTAAGATTTATTTATTCATTTGAAAGGCAGAGTTACAGAGGGAGAGGCCTTCCATACTCTGGCTCACTCCCCAATATGGCCACAACAGTCAGGGCTGGGCCAGGCCAAAGCCAGGAGCCAGGGTCCTGCCTCCCTCGTGGATAATCTGATGAGGTCCAGGCTCCTGGTTTCAGCCTGGCCCAGCCCTCACTGTTGCGGCCATATGGGGGAAGAGAACCAGCACACACAAGATCTGTCTGTCTCTTTGCCTTTCAAATAAATAAAATGAAATATAGAGGAATCTTTTAATAGCAGCGATTAAGGCTGTTCTGAGTTTTTAACAAAAGGGCAAGCCCACAGGCACCGCGGAAGTGCCTGGTGTTTGCTCTCGGTATCATTAGGTGATGCTGCCCTCAGCCTGGCCCTGAACCTTGGCACAGCGCTCAGCAGCCCCCACCCCACCCCGACTCCCTCCAAACGTGGACACTAACCTTGGAGAAAAGCTGAGGACTCAGAACCGACTAAGACCAAGTTCCCATTGCCGCGACACAACAGAGACGCCTCACAGAAATTAAGCCCAGGCCTTTGAAGATCACATTTACTTTTCTTGCACAACTCATCTTGCAGGTGGATATTCCTATTTGAGAACTGCGCAAGCCTGTGGAAATTCGCTGTCCCCAGGTTACCCCGGGAGCGTTTTCATGAGCCCGCCTCCTCCCTTGTGGGCGTAGTTATACGCTGAGCAGCCTGCCTCTCACCTGCCTTGTCTTTCTAGAAAAGCACCTTCCTCCACGGGCTCTCATTTGCAAGCAGTGCAGGAGAGAGCTCAGCTCGAAGGCAGGGAAACGGTGGCCAACAGCTTGTCTGTCGCCCTCCTGAGAGGACCTCCGGGCTTTTTTAAGGACAGAGAATACAAAGAGTTTTATCACTTGGCAAGAAATATCCTGAAGGTGACCCATAAACGTTAATTTTTTATTAAAAATAAAAACCAAACAAGAGCTGGGCAGGTGTTGCTGTGTAGTAGGCTACGCTGCCACGCGCGATCCCAGCATCTCATCACGTCCCCATGGCTCTGCTTCCAATCCAGCTTCTTGCTAAAGCACCTGGGAAGATGGCCCAGGTGTTTGGACCCTGCTACCCATTTGGGAGACTTGGACGGAGTTTCCTGCTCCTGGTTTTGGCCTGGCCCAGCTGGGGCTATGGCAGCCATTGGAGGAGTGAACAAGCAGATGGGGGATCTCTCTCTGGTTTTACCCTGCGCTGTGTCACTTTGCCTTTCAATTAAATAAATGAATACCTGGCTTCCCATTTATGTAAACGCCAGCAGGGTGACCAGGTGTCCTGTTTCCCCAAGACTGGTTCCCCATTAGCATTGAAAGCCCCCCATCCTGGGAACACCCGAAGTCCTTGACAAACAAAAATGTCCTGAATGTCCCAGACAGAGCCTAAATACTGATTACAAATCAAGGACAAGCTTTCTCCAGAGTGTGCAGCAAATGGAATTAGAACTACAAAACAAACAAAGCAAAACAAAACTTTGAAATCCATGGCTTTTTCAAAATTCACATTTTTCATGAACATTTTGAAGACCTTTCATAAATACAGACTTCAAACACTTTTTGGGGGCCGGCCCTGTGGTACAGTTGGTTAAAGCCCTGGCCTGTAGTACTGGCATCCCATATGGGCACTGGTTCGAGCCCTGGCTGCTCCACTTCTGATCCAGCTCTCTGCTGATGTGCCTGGGAAAGCAGTAGAAGATGGCCCAAGTGCTTGGACCCCAGCACCCATCTGGGAGATCTGGATGAAGCTCCTGGCTTCGGATGGGTGCTGTTCCAGCTGTTGCGGCCATCTGGGGAATGAACCATCGGATGGAAGACCTCTCTCTCTCTCTCTGACTTTCCTCTCTCTCTGTAACTCTGCCTTTCAAATAAATAAATCTTTTTAAAAAAATTTTTTTGCACCAAAATAAACTTATCTTTAATTTCCTTTTTATCTGAGGGAAGGGGAAGGAGGGAAGAGGGGAAGAGAGACAGAGAGAAACAGATTTTCCATCCATTGGTTCATTCCCCGAATGCCTGCAACAGCTGGGGATGGGCTAGGACGAAGCCAGGAGCCCAACTCCATCCGGTCTCTCACATGGGTGGTGGAGCTACAAGGTCTTGAACCCTGTGACCTCGTTTCAGAGGGCCCTGCGGGCTGCCCCAGTGCAAAGTGGCAGCCCATCCCACCAGGCTCAGCCCAAGCCGGGGTGTGCCCCTCTCCCCTCAGACCAAGTGTCTCTGGCTGCCTTTGGCACGCAGAACGAGTTTCTGGGCACAGAGAATGCGGCACAGCCTGTCCGGCACCTCGTGGGCGAGTGCGAGCCGCCAGCAGGGCTGTGGGCGTCTGGCCTCTGAGCTTGGATTCCTGGGGCTGCGCAGCTCCTTCCATGGGCGGATCCCGGGGGCCAGTCTACCAGGCTGGGTGGAGTCTCCCAGCCAGGTCCCCGTGCCCGTTCCTGCGCCACAGCCCGGCCACACACAAGTTGGCTTTCCTGAGGGCCTGGCACACCTCCTTCCAGACGCCCCAACTTCTTTAACCCCGAGGGGCTAGTTTTCTCTTTCCAGAGGCACAGTGGCCAGAGGTGGCCAAGTCACCTGTGGGGCTCAGCGTAAAACGCACATGCAGAGCGCTGGCCTGGGGCTGGGCCATCCATGCCCCCTTCTGCGTGCACCTGCCGCCCCAGCCCACAGAGGCCGGGCAGTGTCTCCAGGGCTGAGCTCTGTGCTGGGATGTGCTTGGGGCTTGGATCTGGGGTGGACCTGAGGCCCCTGCCAGGCTGCAGCCAAAACTCCACAATGTATCCTTCCTAGCGTCCAGAACACCCTGAGGGCTATTGTCAAGCCCGGGAAAACCTTCATTATTTTTTCAAAAAACAATTATTTTTATTTGAAAGGTAGAGCAACAGAGACAGGCAGGCAGAAATTTTCCATCCAATGGTTCACTCCTCAAATGTCCACAGTAGCCAGGGCTGGGTCAGGCTGAAGCTAGGAGCTCTGTCTGGGTCTCCCACGTGGATAACAGGAACCCAAACACTTGAGTTATTGGCTGCAGCCTCCCAGGTGCACTGGCAGGAAGCTGGATGGGAAGCAGAGGTGAGACTGGATCCCATGCATTCCCATATAGCATGCAGGCATTGCAAGGGCACCTTCTCTACTCAGGGCAATTCGGGGTTCCAGTGTAGTCAGTGTAGTCAGGGCTGTAGAGGGACCTGAGTAGGGGAGGGGCGCAGAGCCTCAGTTTCCCTGTAAATCCTCCCCTGGGAAGTGATTAAGGATAGCATAGGACCTGGCAAGTAGTAGGTGCTCAGAAAATGGGCTACCCTCATCTTCCTCAACCTCATCTTCCTTCCCCTGTAGCCCTTCAGGGTCCCCTGAGAAGTCACTGATAAACATACTCCCCTTGTTACGATGGGGGAGCTAAGAACCCCGGGCTTGGAATACAAACATCTGGGTCCAAGTCCTGTCTGTCACTTACCAGCTTTGCAACTTTGGACAGATTCCCCGCCCTCTCTTGTGGCCCAGTTTCCCCATCTGTGAGATGGCCATGGCTGTGCCAGCCTCAGGGTGGCAGAGACATGTGGCCGGTATCAGCATCAGGGCTTTGCACAGTACAGAGCAGTTTCACTGCATCAAGTGTTTTTATCTTGCTACTTGGAAGAGTTACCGAGCACCTGGACTGGACACTCGCCAGTGTCTGGGAACTGCTCAAGTATTTTGTTCTCTGTGGACTAAAAGGAGTTGAAAACCTCAACTAGCCTTTAATCTAATTTGGCCTAAAGCTCAGCCAAATTGCCCACGATTTCCACAAACATACTGAGCCCCAGCTGTTGGCCACAGTATGTGCCTAGGGATGGTGACTTGAAGGCGAGTGACACAGTCCCGCCCTTCAAGGAGGGCCTCACGGGCAGAGAGGACCTCGGATGGGCATCTGGAGGGGGCATCTGGTCCCCCAGCCTGGGGCAAGGTTACAACCCAGGTCCCTGTGTCCCTTCCTGCAAAGGGGCATGGCCAGCCACGTTCTCCACGTGGGTCGTAAATACATCACCGTCAGCCCTGCCCTGCAGGGGAGGAACCGCAGCATCAAGAAGGACCCTGGGGGTGAGCGGCCTCCAGACCCCAACCGCAATGCCCAAGGCTCCCTCCCGAGAGCATCAACATTTCCAAGGGTGATCACAGACTCCCTCCTGTAAAATCAACAAAGCCACAGGGAAAGCATCTCCCGCATGACTGCCCCAGAGACATCCCAGGCAGTGCGCTCGCCCTTCCCAGCTCAGGATGGGCGAGCCAGGCCTCGCCACGGAGGCCCCGGGGCCAAGAGGACACCGTCGGGTGGGTGGGCAGCCAGTCCCTTGTGTTTCACTTGCAGAACTTAGAACAGGAAGGAGCTGCATTTTGTGCTGGGCCTGCACCACCCCTCTAGCAAC